ACTAACACTCTTTCCTTTGTATGACTGAACAATCATGAATACAAGCAGTAGAGCTGATAATTGAACGACATGAAATGAGTTTGAATTTTTTAAATTGAGTTTAAAAAATTGTTCAAATTTGACTCATTTAAAAAACGATCTGAGCTTGAACGAGTCCAAAATAAGTCGAACTCGAGCTGAACCTAAGTATTTACACATACACAAGTCGAGTTTGCCGGCTGGATTTTAGCATCATTATTACAATTATGATGTTTTTTTTTCCTCTTACTAAAAAGGGAAAATAAAGTATGTTGTTTGGAATTAAACGGATAGATTATTGTTAACATTTCAAATATTCAATTCCTAAGTAAAACATAATATAGATTTTAGGGGGCTATGGGAGGAGGAATTGGGGGTGGGAATGAGAGGGGGCCGATTATACCTGACCCCGATATGTATGAGATGTGTGAGTCAACTTATGTGTATCTCGATTAATTTCATTTTTGGTTCAATCAAAGACAGACCATTCATACCAGGACTAAGATATTTACGAAGAACATTTTCATAGTCTGACCCAAAAAAATTATCAAGATTCGAATGTGTGTGCATAGGCGAAACTGTGTTAGGGCCTAGTGGCAATGGCCCCTTCCACTTTCAAAAATTCCCATAAACACTCCATAAGTTTCCAAAATATATTATGCTTCTTAAGTGTTTAAAAAATGCTATACATAGGCAATGCACTTAATGGGTTCAATAAGTTCAATGAATTTACATTTAAGAACCAAATGAATGATGTAGCAAAACAAATGATTGTTTTTTTTAGGGACCTTTGGAAGCGAAATTATACTTAATTGTCAAAAAATATAAAGGAAAAAATTATTTTGTTAAAAAGTTCACTTAAAACATAGAAAGACTTGAATACCCTTTTATTGTAAATAAGTTTCCTAAAAAAGATTTTGGAAAAAAATTTCACACACACATATAAGAGTTCTAATAAAACAAAAACCTAAAGTTTAGGAAAATCAAAACCTATAATAAATCATCTCTAGTTTTTTATGGATATATTTCAAATTTTTTTGGAAACTTTTGAAATTTGACAACTAAAATTTAAAAAATTTTAATTATCTTATCCTAAAAAGTACTAAAATCAAAGAATTTCTTTTTATAGATGAAGAAACTTGATTGCACGAGTCTCATGCCAAAGAAAATTAAAAAATAAATAAACATATGATTTATATTAAAAACGAAAGAACAAGCCAAAGAAACTTGATTAAATAACAAATGTAATTTACATTAAAATCGAAGCATTTATGAGTAACTTTTCCTATAATATTGTGTGATAATATTATTGGCAAGGACACTTTATTCATAATTATTGTAGCATGACCAAATGAGAAAATAAGAGTGTCATAATATTGTTACTAACTAATTTTGATGATATTAATATTATATATGAATTTTATGGCCAAAATAAAATTTTCATTTTTAAGAAAAATTAATTTTTTATTTTTTATTTTATTTCAATAAATATCATAATAGAACAAGAATTTTGTTTGTGAAATTTAAAATATTTGATATTCTATCCTTAATTGAAATATTTTTAGTCTAAGTATAATATTTTAAATTTGAGGAGTGTATTATACTCTTACAAACTTCAAGGGATCTAAGTGTAATTTACTAGCGGATATACGAACAAACATTGACTGTAATTTACTGAGTGTAATCAAAGATTATTTCCTGTTTTGCAAGAGTTGTGACAGGTTTTAGAAGGTAGGTGGTGTCACTAAGTAGAATATGATTCCTTTGAACCACATCCTTGTCATTGAAATTTTTGATTGTTGGCTATTGATTTCATGAGTCCATTTTCTTTATCTTTTGGTCATCTTTTTATTTTGCTGGTAGTCGATTATTTTTTTAGGTAGGTAGAGTCAATTCCAACTAGGTTAAATGATCATAAAATTGTCATCAAAATTTTGAAGGAAATATTTTGTTTAGGTTTAGAATGCCCAAGGTAATTATTAGTGATGGTGGTTAATTTGATACACAAATATGGTATCACAGATTGAGTATTCACCACTTATCACTCACAGACTAACGGTCAACCTGAATTGACCAATACAGAAATTAATCACATATTGTAAAAGACTGTAAACCCTAACTGAAAGGATTGACTACTTCGATTGACTGATGTCTTGTGGGCATACCGTACAACATTTAAAGCACCTAGATATGTCTCACTACATGTTAATCTATTGAGCACTGTGCATACTGGGCCATTAAGTCATTGAATTTTTATTTGGGTCCGGTTGGTGAGCACAAAAAATTACAACTCCATGAATTGTAAGAAATATGTAGGTATGTGTATGAATGTACTCGAATTTATAAAGAAAAGGTCAAAGATGATACACCTGCTCTACTGACATGTGACTTTACCATTTGTAGAGTTTTTCATGATAAGTCCATATTGCGAATGCCCTTCAAGCCAGGTCAAAGAGTATTTTTATACAATTCTTGTCTTCATCTTTTCCTGGGAAAATTTCATTCCCATTGGACTGACCCATATGTAATCAGAATTGTTTATCTGAATGGGTCCATGGAGATAGAAAACCCCAAATATGGACAAAATTTTAAAGTTAATGGACAAAGACTTAAGTCATTCTCGGATAATTTCTCACATAAGGAGGTTGTTGGGGAACTATATGATCCAGTGTATCAGGATCTTAGTTCTGAGTAGTTTTTTTTAGTTGGTAGTTTTTATTTTTATATTTTGTGTACAAATTATTTTGTTGTTCTTACTTCTTTTGTTATTATACAGTTGGTGGTTTTTTTTATTTGAAGCTCAGTGCTAGGTGTTTTCTTACCCTTGTTGATTTCATTTTTTCTCATTGTATGACTATTTTTGCATTGAGAATAATGCATGATTTAAGTTGAGGAAGGGGAGGAGTAAGAGGTGCACCATTACTATGTTACACCACCATATTATATTTTGCTAAAATTAGAAATTTTGAAAAAACAAGAATAATAAAAAGAAAAATAAAGCATCCAATTGAACTGCACTATTATTTTTTAATTAGCATAAGATTTGAATATTGACTTATTTGTATGTTAGCACATTATATGAGTTTATTATATTTTTAATTATCATGTATATGTTTTCATTTGAAACTCAACCTATGTGCACTATGAAAATGCTAGTTTTTGGAATTTATTAAATGAAATTCATATCTTAAAAAGCTTGACATATATGTTGGAGATGAATGTATTATCCTTGTGAGTTTTTCTGTCATTCTTTGTTGGGGGGTTAAACTACATTTACTTAAAAGACTATTTTTTCAAATTCAATTTCTTTCAATTATCTCATTATTTTTGTTTTGGTTAGTGTAAAGGAGATAGTTGGTTGATTATATCTCAATGGATAAGAAGTACCTTGCCATATATTTTTTAGAAATGATCTTAGGTCATCTTTGAATTAATTTAAGCCTTAGCCTATTATTTCTTGACATCATCCCTAGAACACTATGATTAAGCTGTAGTGAAAATTTCATTTCTTAGTCACATGATTTACCAAGACAAGCATAAATGTGTTTAACTTATATTGATTATTCTGGTATTGATAATCTTTACAATGTAAAAGGGTAATTGTGGTTATAAGAAAAGAAAAAAAAATTGAAAAGGAGGATGATGGATACATGAATTGTTGATAGCCACAACAAAGCAAAGAAAGCAAGAAGGAAAGGAAGTGAAAAGAAAAGACAAGAAAAAGTTGTGAAAGGGCAATGAAAAAGAAGGGGAAAGAAAAAGAAATGAATGAGGTGAGCTAAGTCCAAATAAGGAGATGTGGTAAGAAAGACATATTCTTGGGATAACTCCTTTTGAATTCCTATATCCTTTCGTTTCTTTAGCTTTTACCCAACGCCATGTTATAACCGAATACAATCCTATTTGACCTTGAGAATTGTGGCAAGTGTATCTTCTAAATCATGTTAGAGATAGGTCAACTATACTACTTTCATTTGCCCTAACATTCTTTCATGAGATTATTCCAAGGCCGTTTTATTTGCATATTTGTTCGTCATTTCTAAAGTATAAGTGAGCTATACTTTATTTTGACTTACAAGAATCCGTCTCACATGTAGACAATGAGTGAAATATCATTATAATTAGTGGTTCTTTATTTTGAGAAAAATTCCTTGGTGAGATGTGCATCAAAGCTAATTTTGGATAACTAATGTAAATGTGGGTTTTATTTGATAAATTTCTTAAATTGCACCATCATTTCATACACACGTGTTTCTAATGAAAATGTGTATGTGAATACTTTTACATAGCACTTAAATCTGTGGTGTAGTTTTTGTGTGAATATCTTGAGTGCATGGAAATGTTTATTAAGATATCATAATATGTTCTAAGTTTAGGATGTGCAATAAAAAATGTTGTAGTTACCCTCACTGGAAATCTTCAAGAGACACAACTCATCCACAAGGGGTGATCTTCGAGTTTAAAGGCTTGTTGCATTCACTAAATGCAATCGTCTAACCTATGAAAGTGGCTTTAGGTTTCATTTAGTGTCTTTAATTGAAATGCATTTTGAATCCTAGGATTTGGTAGTTTTGATGCATGTTTTGTGTGTTTGAATTAGCATGTTATGTGTTATGGAGTAAGTAGGTGTCTTAGGCATGTAAATAAGGTCTAGAAAGCATTAGGGTCATTTGAATAAATAAAATAAATGAAAAAAATCAAGAAAAAGACAAACCAACTGGTTGGACTTGTACTGGTTGGTCAGGGGAAAAAATGGTTGAACCAATTGAACGACTTGTTTGAGGTCTCAAAATCAGTTTTCGGCTTTTTAAAAGGGTGACCAAAGGGTTTTATTTCATTTCACTTCTAAAACTCTTTCTTATTCTTCTCCCTAGACTACCGAAACACCATTCTAACCCTTTGGTCTTCAACCTATTTCCCCAAATATCTCAACCCACTCCAACGACACCTCACTCAAAGCCCCCTAAACCCTAGCTTTCTCCATGACAACTAGGACATCCTTTGGTTCCACTTCTAGTGATCTTCTCTCATGGCTATGGACATGTCTAGTCCTTGTGATTGTGTTGGGGTTTTTTATGGTGAGCATGGCCAAGACCCAAGGGTCTTCAACGATAGAGACGAGGCAGAGGGTGACAAGGAAGAAGAAGGTCAAGGGCAAGGCCATTGATGGTGATGATGGTGAGTCTGAGGATCATGAGGGACCCAAGTCTAGGAAGCTGCAGAGAGCTACTCATGAATCTACCATTATTGAGAGGATACCCACTTGTGAGTAGATGGTTGACCAGAATAGTCTAGGCAAGATTGTGCCTGTGAGAAGTTGAGTACAACTAGGACTAGATTTCTTTTTTGAGAATGTTAAGCGGTATATTCTTATTTATTGTCATAATATTTTACAGTGGGTTGCATCTAGTTGACCCCGAGGCTAGGATTTTGAGGACCAATGTGCGAGGTTGTATTATTCAGGTTACACCTGATAGTATAGTTGAGTACCTGGGTTATATTAGGCCGTCTGCTAGTGAGGTTGATTGTCGACATTATGAGTTCACTGCCAAGAGTCTTCCAGTGTATATGTGTATTATGTGTGAGGATGCTAGTATGTTTGATGGTGAATTTAGTCTGGGTAGCTTGATTGTGGAGTATCAAAGCATGAATAAGATTTTTGCACTACAATGTATATCCTAAGGAGCTCGAGAAGTGACTCACTAGACCCAAGATTATTTTATTGCATAAGGTGATGGTTGGATCGAGGATTTACATCATTTTTTTCATACATGGAGTGATCAGGGATTATATATATCATAAAATAAGCCCAAGGGGAACATATCTTTTGCTAATATGGTTACAAAGTTGTGTACCAAGGCAAATGTGAGGAGGACATAGGTAGATTAGATGACTCATTTGGAGAAGGGGCCAATCAATAATGTGAGTTAGAGGAAGAGCTCTAATATGTCTCGAGCTATTAGGATGAATAGACCTCATCCCCAGACTGCACATTCAGCTCCTGCAGATGTTCCTATTCCACCTACCTCAAGAGCCATGCTTAATTAGAGAGTGATGAGGCTAGAGGAGAGGATGAGTTGAATGGAGTCCAACCTTTATAATATTTAGGGGACATAGACTTAGATAGCCAGAGATTTAGAGCTGTCTTTGATAATTAAAAGGAGATTATTTGAGGCTCTCCTTCCTAGTGAGGCTCTACCAGTTGTTCCTCCATCAACTTTGACATCTAGAGCTACCAGTTTAGGGATGCTACTTCAACCATTTCAGCACCATTTTCCAAATTTCATGCCTGAGTCAGAATATGCTATTCAAGAGATAGGTAGCAGTGAGGAAGAGGAGGCTGAGGTTGGATTTGATGATAAAGAGGAGGATAATTTTGGGTTTGAGTAGTTTGTTTTGTGTGTTAGGTTTATGGGGATTAGCTAGTTTGTTTTTTAGGGAATTGTCTAGTTGGGTTGTAATGACTTAGGATAGGAAACCTTCAGTTATATCCTAAAGTTGTTACATTTTGATTTTTTGTACCCATTGTCATTGGATATATATATATGTGTGTGTGTGTGTGTGTGTGTGATGACTCCTTTTGACTTCATTATGCATTTTAGAATTGTTGTTGTGAATTGGTATGTGTGAGTGTGTTTGCATGGATATTTTGAGCATGTGTAGGATTATGAATGGATGATTGCATACCTTTTTATGTTTGGTTTGCTAGGAACTAGCAAAGCTTAGGCTAGCGGAAATGTTCAGGGCATAACATTGCATATTTCATAGCTTAATTCATCCTCGTTTCACATGTGTTCAATGTTTAATCCTTTGAATTGTGTTGAAATTGAAATAATGGAATGTGTTTGTGGTTGTAGGTACAAAAGGAGATGAAGCGGAACATGTGAAAGCAAGCATAAGGTCATGGGAAATCATTAGGATGAAGAGGAATTGAAATCTTCAATTCAACTAGTTCAAGAGGTTGCATAATATGTTTATTAGAACATCACCAAGAAATTGTGGAGGCTTCAACCGGTTGAACACAAACGTTCAACTGGTTCATTAGAGTTAATCAAGGCTTTTGCAAGATACTGAATACCTTTCAATCGGTTGAACCTCTCCTTCAACTAGTTGATCATATGTCAGCTAAAACACACTTTCTTGAGTTTTGATTCATCCACGAGGGTTGGGTTTTTCTTCACTCCCACACTTAAGGGAAGGCTCCCAATCCCCATGCCACCTCCCACACTTAATGAGAGCAATCTCATAGGTTGAAACCAACGGAGGAAGCTTCTTTGGATGAACATACACCACCCATGCCACACATTTGGCCAATGAAGAGGAAGAGATCAAGGCTTTATATATTTGCAATTCTCTACATATGAAAGAGTTCCTCTTTATTTTTTTATTAGTCTTTTACTTAGTTTAGAAGTCTTGGATTTGAAGTTACATATTGAAAAATTTCCGAGTTTTGGAGAAGAAAACTATTGCATTTTTCATATCTATTTCAAAGCTTTGTTGTTTAATTTTGTCTTTGTATTTGATCTTAGCATCTTGAAACAAAGCTAGTTGAAGAATTTCCTTTTCCTTTGCTTGCTCATTAAATATGTTTTACAAGTTGTTTATTTCCGATTTTGGAGTTATGGGTTTTGCTTTTAGCTGAGCTTTGGCGTGATCCAAGGGATAATTATTGCTTATGATTAAGCCTTGTTGATTCTCTAATATATTTTTACCACGCAGTACATTTTATAGATGATAAAAATCACTTTTGAAAACTAGCGTTTATGTGTAAACTTTGATTTCTCGTCGATGAATTTTTGGCACGGGTAATGTTTAGAGTATGCGTATTCATCTATGCATTTATCACTCTAGATACTATTACATATCTTTAAAGTAAAATACACTTCACAAGGGGTTTTTTCTGAATATTTTCAGTCCGAGTGAATTTAATTATGAGCTTGGTTGAGTTATAAATTAGAATCGACAAATTTGGTTATAATGATATGATTCTCAATGATTGGCCGGCTGTTTATATTTGAATTTACTACACCAGTTTTCATAGTCACCATTTTTCCAATCAATAACAAGGGTTTTTATTTTATTTTACAAACACATCACCATTCAAATACAATTGTTCCTTGATGAGATGAACTCAAAATTTTTCAAGTTACTACACTGCACACACTTCATACGCTTAGGAAACACATTCATACATATCAGAGGTGCGAGCATATTTTTAGAAGAACAATTGAATCATTCTGGTAGAACAACAATTTTGATAGAGTAAAGAATCTTTGAAAACCAAAGGAAGTCAAGCACTTTGACATAGGATATCAACGTAATTTTAAAGACTATAGGGGTAAATCTTGAAAATATGACTATAACTATTTAATAGATTACATTATTCACAGATAAGCTATAAAACATGGGTTTTACGATTGTTCAATTGTAATTTACCATATCAGTAATCTTAATGACACATCGACACATTATTTAAATATATAATAAAATTGACGACGATCTCATGTGATGCACCAAATTTATGTCTCATTGCATTCTATTACCCCATTCACTATCTTCTTGTCTCTCCTACTCCACCATTTAAGGAGTAAGGAAGTTAGAAAAATAATTATAAAAACCTTGGCTAATATAAAGTAATTTAAAAAAAGAAACAAAATGAGGAGTGATTAGTTAGTGAAGGGGTGGTTATGCCCACATGACAAAATGTAATTGGATTGAATTTATTAAAATAAATCAAAAATTTTAAAATTGAGCGAGTAAGGAGGGAAGGCCTCCCAAGGTGTCTCTCACCTAATTTGTTTGCTATATAATATAGTTTAGATTAGAAGAACCTACAAAGATCCCGTGTTCGTCTTCGCCAAACACGCTGGCCACATAAAATGTAATATGGGCATAATCTTTCTTCTAAAATTGCAAAAGGGGAAGGCCTAAGTAGAGATTTTGAAATCAAATGATACCCGAGTTAGCATATCCTTGGATTTGATCCTTGTTAAAAAAAATTGATGGTTTTGTCAAGTGAGAAAAAAATAAAAATAAAAAGAGACCACTTGAAAAGCCATCTCAATCAATACAAATAAAAAGTTCAAGAGAAATAACATAAATCGAATCAGTAGAATTATTTGAAAACTTCTTCTTATGTTCTTAACATGCACTCATAATCATGCCCACAGACACACATCTATATACAACCAGCATCGACATCCCTTACCAAATCACTACACCAACGGATGAGGGGTTTACGACTAACAACTTCCACTCCCTCCATTTTTGTTGCCTCCAATAACCAGAGAATGTGCTTGTGAGTGGGTTTGGACAAACAATTCAATGTTCTTACCAAAATTGTGACAAAAAAAAAGCCATGATCATGGAATGTAATAGGTGTTGGAAGGGGAGTGTTGAAGACATTATTCATTTTTGAACAAAAAATTAGATTCATATCACAAGACTTGTAGTCAATTTGGTAGGCATAGGTTAAAAACCATAGATAAAATGTGAGAAGCTAGTAGATGTGTGTATGCATGTGTTTGGGTGTGTGACTATGTGAGTGGGTTGGTGTATATTCGTGTACATGATTGTTAGTCGATGGATCAGTTTTTAGAGTGGGCTTAAGAGGTCGCGCTTCGGTGTTCTCTTCACAAAGGTTATGAGTGGATCTTACGCAATTTGCGGGAATGAGGTGTTCTAGATTATATTGGGGTGTGGTGTTTGTGTAGGTGAAGCGACTGGATGCACAATTTGTTTGGCCCTTTGTGGTCCTGTCAAAAGAAGGGCTAATAAAAGAGGACACCGGTGTGGCACCTACCGAACCACTTCAAATGCCCAAGTAAGTAAATGAAATAGGTCAATGGAACAGTAAAAATGTATGTGTGTGGAAGATTAGTGAATTAACAACCAATGTTCTCTAGTTTTCTGATATTGGTTACTCCTTTTGCCTTCATTAATGAGGGGTATTTATAGATTGGTTTGAGCGAGAATGTGATTTAAGTAGTGATGATTACAGGCAGGCCTGCAAGTTGAGTGTTGTTCAAGTGATCTTGACAATACTAGCATGCTTCTATGCACTAGGAGTGTGTCAGTGATTCATCAAACGATGTCAGGAAAAGTCAGATCCATCAATAGATTCTAGGTGGCAGTTTTCTTAGGAAACATTGCCCTTTCCTCGGCTTATATTTTACCTCGGGTTTTGAGGTTCTAATGTCTCTTCTAGTGATGAGATCGAGGACAATGGTCCAAGCAGATACGTTTGGTCCTTGGCCATCATTCAAGAGGATATATATATATAGAATGCTCACTGAAGAGGTGGTAAAAAAAGAAGAGGAGAGAGAAGAGAGTCTGGACTAAAGTTAAAGTTTGGGGTCCACACTGATGATCAGTCAAAACCTAATTGGTTGACCATAAATCCAATAGGTTTATGGTTTCACTGTGAATAACTTAATCTTCTACTAATATCCAAAATTAAATGTAAGTGGAATAACAACAGAAGGAAGATGAACATGTATGTTGAATGTTGGCAAATCTTTGAAATTTATCGCATCTTTTCACAAACTTATAGGAGCCTTTGGTCATTGTGGGCCAATAGTAGCCTTGTCATAGCGCCTTGTGGGAGAATGCTCATCCTCCAGAATGATTCTCCCAAATGCCCTCATGAATTTCTCTCAGTGTAAGGTAGCCATAGACTTCTTTGATAAAGGACACCATTGAAGATGACACATTTTTCCGACCTCATAACTATTCTCCTGGTCGCTAGGCAATTTTGGGGAAGGTCACCTTTCTGAAAGTTGGGGTGTGTAAGGATTCATCTAAGTGGGTCTTCCCCTCTAATGATTGGTTTAGCCAAGTGTTTAAGAGGGATGTGCCACTCCTCATTACTTACCACAGATGAATCCAGGCATACTAGAGAGTCGTCGTGCTTATTATCCTCTCCAGAGATCTATTCAATTAAGAAATAGAAAATTCCTAACCATGGAGCGGACCTTTTTCCAAATAGGCAACCATTTTGTTATCTTAGGCTCAAACATATAGGCATATTATACACGACTAATGTACTACACAGTCATAGGCTTAATACATTTTGCATAAGTACATAAAGCTTATTGAAATTTAAATTCTTTTGCAATGTTCAAACAATAAGTAAAAGTAATGGAAGCCAGCAGTCCGTCTACACACAGTATTCATGTCTACTAGTCTAATCTGAAAAGAGGGAAATAACATAGTGTAAGCATCAACAACTCAGTAGAATATCTCAATAAGTAGTTTGATATGATTGTGCATCAATGAAATGGTCATTTGATACATACATAGCTAAAACAGAGTTATTCCATGTAAAACAACAAGAGTTTTATAAAAAAGTAACATCAAAGAGAGTTTAGAAGTTTGGATATAGTGCCACA